TGTCTATTTACTTGTGACCACGCTGTGTATATTACGTGGACTCTGAGTAGAATTTACTTCTATTTTTTATATTTTACGTACCTAGGTTTTTTCATCATTATAGATCATGTTGTATCAATACTAATGCTCTCAGTTTGCCCTTGATGAAAAAAGATTCAGCATTCGGGTTATAGGGATTTGTATTTTTGTGATAAATATTCTAATAGTATATGCTTTAACCTAATTTAGATATATTCTAGATGGTTATACGACAGTTTATTTGATATTTCCAAACATAGTTTGTTTTTAGTTTATCTGTGCTCAATTGTTTCTATACACCTTGTTTCCAGATAATACTTATAATGAATCTATGTCTTTACTGCTTGGTTTTGAAATCTGACAAATGTAAAAACAATTAATAGTCGCTTTACTTTTTACGTTAGTTGGTTCTTATTGTTGCCTTATGGTTATAGCTGCAAATAATCAAAGTACATAAGAGAAGCTTTAAAAACACAAAATAAAATAGTTTGCTTTTAACACACCATTACTAGTCGGTTTGAGATCCTATTCATAAACGTTTATCCAAACTGTTTATTCACCAGAAGTTTTCGGGTCCATGGTTCTGTTCGTTACAGAATCCCTTATAAATATGAGTAGTTAAAAAAAAAAGCTATACACACCGATTCAATATTCCATGTAATCCAACTGCTGCTGGGGTATTGCACATAGTATGTTTTCATCAAAGTTTAAGGTCAGTTCTTTACACTGAGTCTTGGAACAGACAAAAACACCAAATAATTTAATTTGGTACATATTTGGATTCCTTCACTACTGGGTGGTACCAAATTATTAAAACAATAAGTCGGTAATTTTAGGGTTAAAAGTTTAAAATACGATGTTTTGAAGACTACGAATTATTTTTCATATCTGAATCTTGAAAATCAGTTTTACTTAGATTTTGAATTTACGCTCCAAGTTTATAAAGATCCAAAATGTTCAGCAAGTCTCATGTTTTGCCTAATTTTCCAAAGATATTACCATTTTGTAGCATGAAACTGACTTGTTCCTGTAACAGTCTAACAGACAGTACCATTGACTTGTCTCGGTAACAGTCTAATAGACAGTACCATTGACTTGTCTCGGTAACAGTCTAACAGATAGTACAATTGACTTGTCCCTGTAACAGTCTAAAATATAGTACCATTGACTTGTCCCTGTAACAGTCTAAAATATAGCACCATTGGCTTGTCTCTGTAACAGCCTAACAGATAGTACCATTGATTTGTCCCTGTAACAGTCTAAAACATAGCACCATTGACTTGTCCCTGTAACAGTCTAAAACATAGTACCATTGACTTGTCCCTGTAATAGTATAAAATATAGCACCATTGACTTGTCCCTGTAACAGCCTAAAAGATAGTACCATTGACTTGTCCCTGTAACAGTCTAAAACATAGCACCATTGGCTTGTCTCTGTAACAGCCTAACAGATAGTACCATTGATTTGTCCCTGTAACAGTCTAAAACATAGCACCATTGACTTGTTCCTGTAACAGCCTAACAGATAGTACCATTCACTTGTCCCTGTAACAGTCTAAAACATAGCACCATTGACTTGTCCCTGTAATAGTCTAAAAGAACAAAACTATTTGGTAACTTGTCCCTGTAACAGTCTAAAAGAACAAAACTATTTGGTAACTTGTCCCTGTAACAGTCTAAAAGATAGTACCATTGACTTGTCCCTGTAATAGTCTAAAAGTACAAAACGATTTGGTAACTTGTCCCTGTAAAAATCTAAATGATAGAAACGATATGACCTAAAACATTAAATTTACTATTTTCATTGATGTGTTTGTTCTTTTCCAGAAGTGTTGCAGTAATGATATGACATAAAAACATTAAGTTTATTATTTTCATTGATGTGTTCTTTTTCTAGAAGTGTTTCAGTAACGATGTGTGATAAAAACATTAAGTTCATTATTTTCATTGATGTGATTGTTCTTTTCTTGAAGTGTTTTAGTAACGATGTGTGATAAAAACATTAAGTTTGTTATTTTCATTGATGTGTTTGTTTTTCTAGAATTGTTTCAGTAACGATATGACATAAAAACATTAAGTTTATTATTTTCATTGACGTGTTTTTTTTTTCTAGAAGTGTTTCAGTAACGATGTGTGATAAAAACATTAAGTTCATTATTTTCATTGATGTGATTGTTCTTTTCTTGAAGTGTTTTAGTAACGATGTGAGATAAAACATTAAGTTTAATATTTTCATTGATGTGTTTGTTCTTTTCTAGAAGTGTTTCATTAACGATATGAGATAAAAATGTTAAGTTTATTATTTTCATTGATGTGTTTGTTTTTTCTAGAAGTTTTCAGTAACGATGTGAAATAAAGACATTAAGTTTATTATTTTAATTCTTCAAGTTATTTCGATTCAGTTTCTTTTTATTCACATTCGCACGGAGTAAGTGTTTGAAACTCAACTAACGTCAGACGGATATTACAACATTAATAGGACCCATAAACATTATTACAACAGTATCTAATATAGAGTAAGTTTGTTAGTTCACCTTCAGTGTACCTCCAAGTGTTTCTTTGTGAGAGTTGACAGACAACTTGTAACAATACATAATTTAGTGTAACTTTGTTAGTTATCCTTGAGTGTACTTCCAAGTGTTTCTTTGTGAGAGTTGACAGACAACTTGTAACAATATCTATTGTAGTGTAACTTTGTTAGTTCACCTTCAACGTGCTTCCAAGTGGGGGATTATTGGTCTCTATAACAACATCTGCGTAACCTGGTTCTCCACCATCCAATGGTTCTGCTGTTAATCGAAACTTGTAGAGGGCGCCACCTAGAAGCCCCTTCCAGTTGTAATTAGCGGCTGGGATATACAGAGGAAATGGACGATAGACCACTGAGAAGCTGTAATTTTTTGGCTTTACTGATGCCGTCACTCCATGAAGGGATGCACCAGCATATTCTGAAAATATAAACTTTATGAAATATACTTTAGCCAATAGAGCAACTCACAAGGTAGTTTAACTTTTATTTTGATTTATTTATGTCACTTCTCCAAAATTTAGTATATAGAAATCTAAGAAAATATCAACTAATTTCTAACTGACGCAATTTTCGCCGCATTTATAATTCATCTTTTAAAGAAATTAATTCAAATAAAACAAAAATTAGAACTTTAAATAAAACAAGAATACTGTAACAAATTAGAACTTAGTGATCTTTAAACAAAACATGATTACTTTAAGACATTAAAACTAAGTGATTTTTAAATAAAACAAGAATATTGTAAGGAATTAGAACTGAGTGATCATTAAATAAAACATGAATATTGTGAGAAATTTTAACTTAGTGATCTTTAAATGAAACAAGAATATTGTAAGAAATTAGAACTTAGTGATCTTTAAATAAAACAAGAATATTGTAACAAATTAGAAATTAGTGATCTTTAAATAAACAAGAATATAGTAATAAATTAGAACTTAGTGACTTCAAATAAAACAAGAATACTGTAACAAATTATAACTTAGTGATCTTTAAATAAAACAAGAATATGTAATAAATTAGAACTTAGTGAGTTTTTAATAAAACAAGAATATTGTAACGAATTCGAACTTAGTGATCTTTAAATAAAACAAGAATAATGTAAGGAATTAGAACTTAGTGTTATTGAAATAAAACAATAATACTATAAAAAATTAGAACTGAGTGTTCTTCAAATAAAACAAGAATATTGTAAGAAATTAGACCTGAGTGATCATTAAATAAAACATGAATATTGTGAGAAATTTGAACTTAGTGATCTTTAAATGAAACAAGAATATTGTAAGAAATTAGGACTTAGTGATCTTTAAATAAAACAAGAATATTGTAAGGAATTAGAACAGAGTGATCATTAAATGAAACAAAAATATTGTAAGAAATTAGAATTTAGTGATCTTTAAATAAAAAATTAATGTTGTAACAAATTAGAACTAAGTGATCTTTAAATAAAACAAGAATACTGTAAGACATTAAAACTTAGTGATTTTTAAATAAAACAAGAATATTGTAAGGAATTAGAACTGAGTGATAATTAAATAAAACAATAATTTTGTAAGAAATTAGAACTGAGTGAT